CAACGGAGGAAGGAATGTCGGTGCAAGAGGAATGCATACAAAATCAGGCTTTTATTATTACAAAAAATACCTTTTTTTTTTTCTTTTTATAAAAAAAGAGAATGTTTTCTCGCACCTCCCTGCCCTCCCAACGCTGCCCATGCTCCGTGAGGAGGCAACGCAGCCCTGGCGGCCCCAGGATGGCGACTCTGGGGGAAACACCCAGGAATGGGCTGGTGTCCAGGGCCCAGCTCCCCCGGGATGTGCCGAGGCCCCAAAACCCCCAAATCCCCGAATTTCTGGAAGCCGGCACTCTGGAAACAAGAGAGCAGGTTTTGCCACCCCGACCCTTGGGGTACATTCTCCTTTACCTCGCTCCCTTGAGCCTTCAAACTCCTTCAAAGCTCAGGAACGTTCCCAGGGAGGAAAAATCCCACCACCAAAAGGACACTTAGAGTTAAACCCCCGTAAACCGCTCGGCAACAGCGTCCTTCAGGCCGCAGCACCGCACCGGGGGGAGCAGCCCCAGTACCACAGGCTCACCCGAGTGGCGTTTTCAAAAAAGGAAAAGTTCTGTACCCAGTCTTTGGACAAAAAAAAAAAAAAAAAAGAGAAAATAAAACTACAGGAGCACCAAAGGGGTTGGTCAAGCTGAGACTCGCCACACGGGGATTACCAGTGTCACCAGCACTAAACTGGTCTGGGCCAAAGGAAGGGGTTTGAGCTGCTGTTTCACCACCAGCGAGCATTTCCCACAGGTGTCTCCGCTGGGAACCACCCCCCCAGCCACGGGATCTGCTGCCAGAGGGGTATTTTACAAAGGACAAAACCACAAAAACAGAAACCACAGGCCTAGGCACGATGTACCCCACCCCCACTACAGCTACTCTAACGGTCTTTGCTCAAAAACCAGTCTCATTCCCACTGCAGACCATCAGCAGCCACAAAGCTACAAGCCCTCGACCTCCAGCTCCCCTCTGGCCACAGACCCCCCGCCCGCGGCCCTGTGAACGCCTCCTCCCCGCTCCTGCGCGCAGGCGGGCTGCCGGGGCCGCTGCCGGAGAGAAACAGGCCCCCCACGGCGGCGGAGCGGGTCTGAGATCGCTTCTGACGGGGGAACGGGAACCGAGGCACCGAGGGGAGGTGGCTGGAGAAAGGCCACAGCGGCACGTGACAAAACCCAGAGCTCATCTCCGCTCCCTGCCCAGGGACCGTCATGTTCCCCACAACACCTTGCAGAGAACTTAGGGTCAGTTCTGAACGAGGAGCTTCACACTGTCCCCAGGTAAAACTTAAAATTAACGGAAAAAATAGAAAAGGAGAAGAGGAAATCTGAGCAGCTGCTTCGCTGTGACTGCTGGCGAGCCCCCAACAGCGAGAACGGAGAGCTGTGTAAACTGCATCTCAAAAACTACACAGAGTTTGTAGTTTCCTATAAACTACGTGACTTAAAATTTCGTTTCTGTCCGACCTCACGCTGGAGATGCAGAAGTCAGACAGAACAGTCCAGAAGCGACGGGGAGGAGCACCACGGGGCTGCGGCAGCGCGCCGCAGGCAGGAGAACGCCGCCAGCACCAAGAGGTCCCTCGGCGAGGTCCCAGGCTCAGAGCCCCGAGAACCGCGGAGCCTGTTCCTCCCCCGGTCAGAACTCATCCCGTAGCCTCGGCGGGTGGTCCATCCCGAAAAAGGACGAGGGTTTTCCGTGCACGTCGCGCTCCCTTTTCACGAAGGCGGTGAAGGAGGAGACGCAGTTGCCGATGAAGTGATCGGACTGGCCCAGAACGTACAGATCGACCTGCGGCACCTCGGGCTGCAGGCTCACCACCTTCACCTGCGGGGGACAGGGACAGCAAGCGGCTCCAGTCAGCTGCCACCACCGCCCACGTGCCTGGGCGCAGGATTGGGAATGGGAAGGCACGACAGACAGAGCGGATCCTGTCTCCGGGGGCTCTAACGCGTTTGTGAACGGAGAAGCGTCAAAACCCCCGGGCAATCATGGAGGCTTCTTTAACCGAAGCCGCCTTCGAGGAGAAACCTGCCACCGTGCAGGATAATGCTCTTCACCCTCTAGGAAGGGAAGAGTTTCACAGCGCCATTTTTATCGCTACCAGCCGAATCTGCTTTGAGATGCCAATATCTGTCTGTGAATAACCCCCAGCTGCTGCCCGCGGCAGCGACATCCCAGAGCCCAGGGAAGGGTTTTACCAGAGCGCCTCTGCCGGAGCGGGTTTCCGAGAGACTCACCTTTCCTTGG